ATAAAAGTCAGATTTGTAATGAAACAACTTTTTATGTCATAATTATTATTTTTTTGTCAATTTTGATTTTGCATCACTTCATTTATCAGAATTATGCCATTTATAATAATGAATTATGATTTACCAAAGCTTCCATATGCACATGTGATATTTCTATTTTGACTTCTGGCCCTCTAGCGTTTATTAATATTAATAACCGCACACGTCTCGCAGAGGAACTGGTTCTGGTTGTTCATGATATATGATCAGTTCATCATGTTCAGAGATTGGCCATCGCAATCATTTTGACCAAACATTAACTTTTTTAACCATTCGAACTGTGTGTGTGTGTTACAGGAGACTGAGATCGACAGCATTCATGAACTGGTGGTTGGTGCAACAGAGAACGTGAAAGAAGGAAATGAAGATATTAGAGAGGTAAGAAAGCCAATGAACACACACACACACACACACACTCTCTTTCTCTCTCTCTCTCTCTCTCTCTCTCTCTCTCTCTCTCTCTCTCTCTCTCTCTCTCTCTCTCTCTCTCTCTCTCTCTCTCTCTCTCTCTCTCTCTTGTGTGGGCTTCCACACTCATTTGTCAGTAAATCATAAAGAAATGAAGCGTGATTGCTGCTGTATTTGTTCTTCCATTATATGGATGATGATTCTTCATAACTCGTGTGTGTGTGTGTGTGTGTGTGTGTGCGCGCTTCTCAGGCCATCAAGAACAACGCCGGCTTCCGCGTGTGGATCCTCTTCTTCCTGGTCATGTGTTCGTTCTCGCTGCTGTTTCTGGACTGGTACGACGGATGACGGGGAGCCACGCCACTCATATGAAATCATATTTAATAAACAGCCTCAGTCCAAAGCTCTGCTGTGTCTTCAGTGATTGTGTGATTGATTGGATGAAACTCTGGTGTTGATTGTGTGTTCCAGTGATTTATCAGCGGGGAGTTTGACATCACTGACGGCAGAAGCACATCTCTGACAAATATACAAACATACTTTTGTAAATCATAATTATGACTAAGTCAATTATGACATGTCTTAATTATGACTGTCATAATTTCAACTTTTCGATCTCTTCATTATGAGTTAGTATGTCATAATATTACTTGGTAAGTGAATTTCGACTTTTTTGACTTTATAATTTTGGCTTTTTTTATCATTTTTTCATGTCATAATTATGGTTTACCAAAGCATTAGTTGTTGTCTTATGTAGAAATGTGCTTCCGTGTGTGTGTGTGTGTGTGTCAGACTGTGTGGTTTGAGTGTGTGTGTGTGTCTGACTGTTTGAGTGTGTGTCTGACTGTTTGAGTGTGTGTCTGACTGTTTGTGTGTGTGTCTGACTGTTTGTGTGTGTGTCTGACTGTGTTTGTGTGTGTCTGACTGCTTGTGTGTGTGTCTGACTGTGTTTGTGTGTGTCTGACTGTTTGTGTGTGTGTCTGACTGTGTTTGTGTGTGTCTGACTGTTTGTGTGTGTGTCTGACTGTTTGTGTGTGTGTCTGACTGTGTTTGTGTGTGTCTGACTGCTTGTGTGTGTGTCTGACTGTGTTTGTGTGTGTCTGACTGTTTGTGTGTGTGTCTGACTGTGTTTGTGTGTGTCTGACTGTTTGAGTGTGTGTCTGACTCTGTTTGAGTTGTTTGTGTGTGTGTGTGTGTGTCTGACTGTTTGAGTGTGTCTGACTGTTTGAGTGTGTCTGACTGTGTTTGAGTGTGTGTCTGATTGTGTTTGTGTGTGTGTCTGACTGTGTGTGTGTGTGTGTGTCTGACTGACTGTGAGTGTGTGTGTGTGTGTGTGTCTGACTGTGTTTAAGTGTATGTCTGACTGTTTGTGTGTGTGTGTCTGTCTGACTGTGTTTGTGTGTCTGTTTGAGTGTGTGTGTGTCTCTGACTGTTTGAGTGTGTCTGACTGTGTCTGATTGTGTTTGTGTGTCTGACTGTGTTTGACTGTGTGTGTGTGTGTCTGACTGACTGTGTTTGAGTGTGTGTCTGACTGTGTTTGTGTGTGTCTGACTGTGTTTGTGTGTGTCTGACTGAGTGTGTGTGTGTGTCTGACTGTGTTTGTGTGTGTCTGACTGTGTTTGTGTGTGTCTGACTGTGTGTGTGTGTGTCTGACTGTTTGTGTGTGTGTCTGACTGTTTGAGTGTGCGTGTCTGACTGTTTGTGTGTGTGTCTGACTGTGTTTGTGTGTGTCTGACTGTTTGAGTGTGTGTCTGACTGTTTGTGTGTGTGTCTGACTGTGTTTGTGTGTGTCTGACTGTTTGAGTGTGTGTCTGACTCTGTTTGAGTGTGTGTCTGACTGTTTGTGTGTGTCTGACTGTTTGTGTGTGTCTGACTGAGTGTGTGTGTCTGACTGTGTTTGTGTGTGTGTGTCTGACTCTGTTTGTGTGTGTGTTGTGTGTTGTGTCTGACTGTTTGAGTGTTGTGTGTGTGTTGTGTCTGTCCTGTGGCTGTGTGTGTGCTGATCTGTTGTTGTGTCTGTTGTGTCTGACTGTTTTGAGTGTGTGTGTCTGACTGTTTGAGTGTGTCTGACTGTGTGTGTGTCTGACTGTGTGTGTGTCTGACTGTGTTTGAGTGTGTGTCTGATTGTGTTTGTGTGTGTGTGTCTGACTGTTTGTGTGTGTGTGTCTGACTGACTGTGTTTGAGTGTGTGTGTGTCTGACTGTGTTTAAGTGTGTGTCTGACTGTTTGTGTGTGTCTGTCTGACTGTGTTTGTGTGTGTCTGACTGTGTTTGTGTGTCTGTTTGAGTGTGTGTGTGTGTGTGTGTCTCTGACTGTTTGAGTGTGTCTGACTGTGTCTGATTGTGTTTGTGTGTCTGACTGTGTGTGTGTGTGTGTCTGACTGACTGTGTTTGAGTGTGTGTGTGTGTCTGACTGTGTTAGGGTTAGGGTTAGCCATGAACTGTAGACCTGTCACCTTGTCAAAGACCCTTCCCAGAGTATTTGGATCTTGTTTTCTTTGTAATGTCTTTCAGATCCAAATAAAAGCATTCAATGTGTGTCTGACTGTGTTTGTGTGTGTCTGACTGTTTGTGTGTCAAATAAAAGCATTCAATGTGTGTCTGACTGTGTTTGTGTGTGTCTGACTGTTTGTGTGTGTCTGACTGAGTGTGTGTGTGTGTCTGACTGTGTATGTGTGTGTCTGACTGTGTGTGTGTCTGACTGTGTTTGTGTGTGTCTGACTGAGTGTGTGTGTGTGTGTGTCTGACTGTGTGTGTGTGTGTCTGACTGTGTTTGTGTGTGTCTGACTGTTTGTGTGTGTGTCTGACTGTTTGTGTGTGTGTCTGACTGTGTTTGTGTGTGTCTGACTGTTTGAGTGTGTGTCTGACTGTGTTTGTGTGTGTCTGACTGTTTGAGTGTGTGTCTGACTGTTTGTGTGTCTGACTGAGTGTGTGTGTCTGACTATGTTTGTGTGTGTGTGTGTGTGTCTGACTGTTTGAGTGTGTGTGTGTCTGACTGTTTGAGTGTGTTTGTGTGTGTGTCTGACTGTTTGTGTGTGTGTGTGTGTCTGACTTTTTGAGTGTGTGTGTGACTGTTTGTGTGTCTGACTGTGTGTCTGACTGTTTGAGTGTGTGTCTGATTGTGTTTGTGTCTGACTGTGTGTGTGTGTGTCTCACTGACTGTTTGAGTGTGTGTGTGTCTGACTGTGTTTGTGTGTCTGACTGTGTTTAAGTGTGTGTGTCTGACTGTTTGTGTGTGTGTGTCTGTCTGACTGTGTTTGTGTGTGTTTGTGTGTCTGTTTGAGTGTGTGTGTGTGTGTCTCTGACTGTTTGAGTGTGTCTGACTGTGTCTGATTGTGTTTGTGTGTCTGACTGTGTGTGTGTGTGTGTGTGTGTGTGTCTGACTGTGTTTGAGTGTGTGTGTCTGACTGTGTTTGTGTGTGTCTGACTGTGTTTGTGTGTGTCTGACTGTGTTTGTGTGTGTCTGACTGAGTGTGTGTGTGTGTGTGTCTGACTGTGTTTGTGTGTGTCTGACTGTTTGTGTGTGTGTCTGACCCTGTTTGAGTGTGTGTCTGACTGAGTGTGTGTGTGTCTGACTGTTTGTGTGTGTCTGACTGTTTGTGTGTGTCTGACTGTGTTTGTGTGTGTGTCTGACTGTTTGAGTGTCTGACTGTGTTTGTGTGTGTCTGACTGTTTGAGTGTGTGTGTGTGTGTCTGACTGTTTGAGTGTGTCTGACTGTGTTTGAGTGTGTCTGACTGTTTGAGTGTGTGTGTGTGTCTGACTGTGTTTGAGTGTGTGTCTGACTGTGTTTGTGTGTGTCTGACTGTGTTTGTGTGTGTCTGACTGAGTGTTTGTGTGTGTCTGACTGTGTTTGTGTGTGTCTGACTGTTTGTGTGTGTGTCTGACTGTTTGAGTGTGTGTGTCTGACTGTTTGTGTGTGTGTCTGACTGAGTGTGTGTGTCTGACTGTGTGTGTGTGTGTGTCTGACTGTTTGAGTGTGTGTGTGTGTCTGACTGTTTGAGTGTGTTTGTGTGTGTGTCTGACTGTTTGTGTGTGTCTGACTGTTTGAGTGTGTGTGTCTGACTGTTTGAGTGTGTCTGACTGTGTGTGTGTCTGATTGTTTGTGTGTGTGTCTGACTGTGTGTGTGTGTGTCTGACTGACTGTGTTTGAGTGTGTGTGTGTCTGACTGTGTTTAAGTGTGTGTCTGACTGTTTGTGTGTGTGTGTCTGTCTGACTGTGTTTGTGTGTGTCTGACTGTGTTTGTGTGTCTGTTTGAGTGTGTGTGTGTCTCTGACTGTTTGAGTGTGTCTGACTGTGTCTGATTGTGTTTGTGTGTCTGACTGTGTGTGTGTGTGTGTGTGTGTGTGTGTGTGTGTGTGTGTGTCTGACTGACTGTGTTTGAGTGTGTGTGTGTGTCTGACTGTGTTAGGGTTAGGGTTAGCCATGAACTGTAGACCTGTCACCTTGTCAAAGACCCTTCCCAGAGTATTTGGATCTTGTTTTCTTTGTAATGTCTTTCAGATCCAAATAAAAGCATTCAATGTGTGTCTGACTGTGTTTGTGTGTGTCTGACTGTTTGTGTGTGTGTGTCTGACTGAGTGTGTGTGTGTGCCTGACTGTGTTTGTGTGTGTCTGACTGTGTTTGTGTGTGTCTGACTGTGTTTGTGTGTGTCTGACTGAGTGTGTGTGTGTGTGTCTGACTGTGTTTGTGTGTGTCTGACTGTTTGTGTGTGTGTCTGACTGTTTGTGTGTGTGTCTGACTGTTTGAGTGTGTGTGTCTGACTGTTTGTGTGTGTGTCTGACTGTGTTTGTGTGTGTCTGACTGTTTGAGTGTGTGTCTGACTGTGTTTGTGTGTGTCTGACTGTTTGAGTGTGTGTCTGACTGTTTGTGTGTGTCTGACTGAGTGTGTGTCTGACTGTGTTTGTGTGTGTGTGTGTGTCTGACTGTTTGAGTGTGTGTGTGTCTGACTGTTTGAGTGTGTGTGTGTCTGACTGTTTGAGTGTGTTTGTGTGTGTGTCTGACTGTTTGTGTGTGTGTCTGACTTTTTGAGTGTGTGTGTGTGTGTGTGTGACTGTTTGAGTGTGTCTGACTGTGTTTGAGTGTGTGTCTGATTGTGTTTGTGTCTGACTGTGTGTGTGTGTGTCTGACTGACTGTGTTTGAGTGTGTGTGTGTCTGACTGTGTTTGTGTGTCTGACTGTGTTTAAGTGTGTGTCTGACTCTTTGTGTGTGTGTGTGTCTGACTGTGTTTGTGTGTGTTTGTGTGTCTGTTTGAGTGTGTGTGTGTGTGTCTCTGACTGTTTGAGTGTGTCTGACTGTGTCTGATTGTGTTTGTGTGTCTGACTGTGTGTGTGTGTGTGTCTGACTGACTGTGTTTGAGTGTGTGTGTGTCTGACTGTGTTTGAGTGTGTGTGTCTGACTGTGTTTGTATGTGTCTGACTGTGTTTGTGTGTGTCTGTCTGACTGAGTGTGTGTGTGTGTCTGACTGTGTTTGTGTGTGTCTGACTGTGTTTGTGTGTGTGTCTGACTGTTTGAGTGTCTGACTGTGTTTGTGTGTGTCTGACTGTTTGAGTGTGTGTGTGTCTGACTGTTTGAGTGTGTCTGTCTGACTGTTTGAGTGTGTGTGTCTGACTGTTTGAGTGTGTGTGTGTCTGACTGTTTGAGTGTGTCTGACTGTGTTTGTGTGTCTGTTTGAGTGTGTGTGTGTGTGTGTCTCTGACTGTTTGAGTGTGTCTGACTGTGTCTGATTGTGTTTGTGTGTCTGACTGTGTGTGTGTGTGTGTCTGACTGACTGTGTTTGAGTGTGTGTGTGTGTCTGACTGTGTTAGGGTTAGGGTTAGCCATGAACTGTAGACCTGTCACCTTGTCAAAGACCCTTCCCAGAGTATTTGGATCTTGTTTTCTTTGTAATGTCTTTCAGATCCAAATAAAAGCATTCAATGTGTGTCTGACTGTGTTTGTGTGTGTCTGACTGTTTGTGTGTGTCTGACTGAGTGTGTGTGTGTGTCTGACTGTGTATGTGTGTGTCTGACTGTGTGTGTGTCTGACTGTGTTTGTGTGTGTCTGACTGAGTGTGTGTGTGTGTGTCTGACTGTGTGTGTGTGTGTCTGACTGTGTTTGTGTGTGTCTGACTGTTTGTGTGTGTGTCTGACTGTTTGTGTGTGTGTCTGACTGTGTTTGTGTGTGTCTGACTGTTTGAGTGTGTGTCTGACTGTGTTTGTGTGTGTCTGACTGTTTGAGTGTGTGTCTGACTGTTTGTGTGTCTGACTGAGTGTGTGTGTCTGACTGTGTTTGTGTGTGTGTGTGTGTGTCTGACTGTTTGAGTGTGTGTGTGTCTGACTGTTTGAGTGTGTTTGTGTGTGTGTCTGACTGTTTGTGTGTGTGTGTGTGTGTGTCTGACTTTTTGAGTGTGTGTGTGACTGTTTGTGTGTCTGACTGTGTGTCTGACTGTTTGAGTGTGTGTCTGATTGTGTTTGTGTCTGACTGTGTGTGTGTGTGTCTCACTGACTGTTTGAGTGTGTGTGTGTCTGACTGTGTTTGTGTGTCTGACTGTGTTTAAGTGTGTGTGTCTGACTGTTTGTGTGTGTGTGTCTGTCTGACTGTGTTTGTGTGTGTTTGTGTGTCTGTTTGAGTGTGTGTGTGTGTGTGTCTCTGACTGTTTGAGTGTGTCTGACTGTGTCTGATTGTGTTTGTGTGTCTGACTGTGTGTGTGTGTGTGTGTGTGTCTGACTGTGTTTGAGTGTGTGTGTCTGACTGTGTTTGTGTGTGTCTGACTGTGTTTGTGTGTGTCTGACTGTGTTTGTGTGTGTCTGACTGAGTGTGTGTGTGTGTGTGTCTGACTGTGTTTGTGTGTGTCTGACTGTTTGTGTGTGTGTCTGACCCTGTTTGAGTGTGTGTCTGACTGAGTGTGTGTGTGTCTGACTGTTTGTGTGTGTCTGACTGTTTGTGTGTGTCTGACTGTGTTTGTGTGTGTGTCTGACTGTTTGAGTGTCTGACTGTGTTTGTGTGTGTCTGACTGTTTGAGTGTGTGTGTGTGTCTGACTGTTTGAGTGTGTCTGACTGTGTTTGAGTGTGTCTGACTGTTTGAGTGTGTGTGTGTGTCTGACTGTGTTTGAGTGTGTGTCTGACTGTGTTTGAGTGTGTGTCTGACTGTGTTTGTGTGTGTCTGACTGTGTTTGTGTGTGTCTGACTGAGTGTTTGTGTGTGTCTGACTGTGTTTGTGTGTGTCTGACTGTTTGTGTGTGTGTCTGACTGTTTGAGTGTGTGTGTCTGACTGTTTGTGTGTGTGTGTCTGACTGAGTGTGTGTGTCTGACTGTGTGTGTGTGTGTCTGACTGTTTGAGTGTGTGTGTGTGTGTCTGACTGTTTGAGTGTGTTTGTGTGTGTGTCTGACTGTTTGTGTGTGTCTGACTGTTTGAGTGTGTGTGTCTGACTGTTTGAGTGTGTCTGACTGTGTGTGTGTCTGATTGTTTGTGTGTGTGTCTGACTGTGTGTGTGTGTGTCTGACTGACTGTGTTTGAGTGTGTGTGTGTCTGACTGTGTTTAAGTGTGTGTCTGACTGTTTGTGTGTGTGTGTCTGTCTGACTGTGTTTGTGTGTGTCTGACTGTGTTTGTGTGTCTGTTTGAGTGTGTGTGTGTCTCTGACTGTTTGAGTGTGTCTGACTGTGTCTGATTGTGTTTGTGTGTCTGACTGTGTGTGTGTGTGTGTGTGTGTGTGTGTGTGTGTGTCTGACTGACTGTGTTTGAGTGTGTGTGTGTGTCTGACTGTGTTAGGGTTAGGGTTAGCCATGAACTGTAGACCTGTCACCTTGTCAAAGACCCTTCCCAGAGTATTTGGATCTTGTTTTCTTTGTAATGTCTTTCAGATCCAAATAAAAGCATTCAATGTGTGTCTGACTGTGTTTGTGTGTGTCTGACTGTTTGTGTGTGTGTGTCTGACTGAGTGTGTGTGTGTGCCTGACTGTGTTTGTGTGTGTCTGACTGTGTTTGTGTGTGTCTGACTGTGTTTGTGTGTGTCTGACTGAGTGTGTGTGTGTGTCTGACTGTGTTTGTGTGTGTCTGACTGTTTGTGTGTGTGTCTGACTGTTTGTGTGTGTGTCTGACTGTTTGAGTGTGTGTGTCTGACTGTTTGTGTGTGTGTCTGACTGTGTTTGTGTGTGTCTGACTGTTTGAGTGTGTCTGACTGTGTTTGTGTGTGTCTGACTGTTTGAGTGTGTGTCTGACTGTTTGTGTGTGTCTGACTGAGTGTGTGTGTCTGACTGTGTTTGTGTGTGTGTGTGTGTCTGACTGTTTGAGTGTGTGTGTGTCTGACTGTTTGAGTGTGTGTGTGTCTGACTGTTTGAGTGTGTGTGTGTCTGACTGTTTGAGTGTGTTTGTGTGTGTGTCTGACTGTTTGTGTGTGTGTCTGACTTTTTGAGTGTGTGTGTGTGTGTGTGTGACTGTTTGAGTGTGTCTGACTGTGTTTGAGTGTGTGTCTGATTGTGTTTGTGTCTGACTGTGTGTGTGTGTGTGTCTGACTGACTGTGTTTGAGTGTGTGTGTGTCTGACTGTGTTTGTGTGTCTGACTGTGTTTAAGTGTGTGTCTGACTCTTTGTGTGTGTGTGTGTCTGACTGTGTTTGTGTGTGTTTGTGTGTCTGTTTGAGTGTGTGTGTGTGTGTCTCTGACTGTTTGAGTGTGTCTGACTGTGTCTGATTGTGTTTGTGTGTCTGACTGTGTGTGTGTGTGTGTCTGACTGACTGTGTTTGAGTGTGTGTGTGTCTGACTGTGTTTGAGTGTGTGTGTCTGACTGTGTTTGTATGTGTCTGACTGTGTTTGTGTGTGTCTGTCTGACTGAGTGTGTGTGTGTGTCTGACTGTGTTTGTGTGTGTCTGACTGTGTTTGTGTGTGTGTCTGACTGTTTGAGTGTCTGACTGTGTTTGTGTGTGTCTGACTGTTTGAGTGTGTGTGTGTCTGACTGTTTGAGTGTGTCTGTCTGACTGTTTGAGTGTGTGTGTCTGACTGTTTGAGTGTGTGTGTGTCTGACTGTTTGAGTGTGTCTGACTGTGTTTGAGTGTGTGTGTCTGACTGTGTGTGTGTGTGAACACACTGGTTTGAGAGCAGATTTGATGAAAGGTTCGCAGTTTCTCTCCCACTGAGCGAGTCAATCTGATACATCAGGTGAGCAGAAATATGAATTATAACTATAAATCATAACTGAACCTTCAATACTGTCTGAAAACAATTACTTAGAAAAAAAAAAAAAGTTTGGTCACTAAAATAAAATAATTAATACTTTTATTCATCAAGGATGCATTAAACTGATCAAAAGTGCCAGTGAAGACATTTATGTTACAAAAGATTCTATTTCAAATAAATGCTGTTCTCTTGAACTTTCTATTCATCAAAGAATCCTGAAAAATAAAATATGAAGCAGCACAACTGTTTGCAACATTTCTTGATCATCAGATCCTCATATTAGAGTGATTTCTGAAGGATCATGTGACACTGAAGACTGGAGTAATGATGCTGAAAATTCAGCTTTGATCACAGGAATAAATTACACTTTACTATATATTCACATAGAGAACAGCGGATTTACACTGGAATAATATTACACTGTTTACTGTATTTTTGGTGAGCAGAAAATACTGAAACATTAAAACATTTTAATTATTCCAAACGTCTGACCGGTGTCCAGCATGTTTTAAGAGTCTGACATGCATTACAGCAGTAACACTCTCTCTCTCACACACACACACACACACTCTCTCACTCACTCACACACACACACACTCTCTCTCACACTCTCTCACTCACACACACTCACACTCTCTCACTCACACACACACACACACACACTCTCTCTCACACTCACTCACACACACACACACTCTCTCACTCACTCACTCATTCACACACACACACACACACACACACTCTCACATTTTTGCTGTATTTATGATAGTGTATGATATGATAGTGTTTCACAGTCTTCATGGCTCATCCCCAGAGCGCGCGCGCACACACACACACACACACACACACACAAGCTCATGTCTCAGTGTCGCTCTGCAGGGTCTTCATGGCTCGTCCCCAGAGTGCGCCGCTGCTGCACAGGCCCTCGGTGTGAGACACACACACCGCTGATGAAGATGATGATGATGATGAAGCTGCGGGTCGGGCCGGTGCTGAGACTCCAGCTGATGATGATGAAGGTCTGCAGTGAGAGACTGATGATGAAGAGTCTCCAGGTCTGCAGTGAGACACACACACTGATGATGATGATGATGATGAGTCTCCAGGCCTGCAGTGAGACACACACACTGATGATGATGATGATGATGATGAAGAGTCTCCAGGTCTGCAGTGAGACACACACGAGTGTGTGCTTCGGTGTCTGCGCAGAACTGCGGTGCGTGTGAAGCTCTTCCCGCACGAGTCGCAGGCGTACGGACGCTCACCGGTGTGAGAACGCATGTGACGCTGGAGATCCCCGGAGCCGGCAAAACACTTCCCTGAAACACACACACACACACACAGTTTTAGTTCTGTTTCAAAGCAGCTTCACAGCAATAAACAGGCAAAGTGTGTGTGTGAGTGAGCGTGTGTGTGCGCGAGTGAGTGTGTGAGTGAATGCGTGTGTGAGAGTGTGTGTGTGTGTGTTACCGCAGGTCTGGCAGCAGTAGGGTTTGTCTCCGCTGTGTCTGAGTTTGTGTTTGAAGAGTTTTCTCTGCATGTTGAAGGATTTCCCGCACTGTTCACAGGTGAACTCCTTCTCTGAGCTGTGGGTCTTCTTGTGCTCCTTCAGATTGCTGAAGTTACTGAAGCCTGTCGACACAGAAACTCATGTGAGGATGAGATCAGTCTTTCAACACTCTCTCACTCTCACACACACACACACACACACACACACTCACTCACTCACTCACTCACTCACACACTCACACACTCACTCACTCACTCACACACTCACACACTCACTCGGTCACTCACTCACTCACTCACACACTCACTCACACACCTCGTCCACAGACGTCACACAGGTGTGGTCGGGCTCCCGAGTGGATGATGATGTGTCGCTGAACATCGCCTGACGCCGCAAAACTGAACACAGAGGGATTGAGCCGTTAATCTAATCATCACAGTACAGTAGGACAATTGATTTGTATTCTAAGTTTAAGAAATTTTGTTTAAATATACATATAAGACAATGCCTTATTAAATATGCACTCATTTGCATATATTTCCAGAACATTAATCTGAACATTGGATAAAGCCAGGTTCATACTTCTTGTCTGATTTTGTTGACATATTAGAGTTGAAGGTTTTTATAGAAGGGATTTTTGATTTCTCTTTTTATCACTCCATAAATCAGAAAATACTGTCGACAGACAGAAAAAACACATTTTCACCATGTTTTTAGGAATAAAATGTTATATAAATCAGTGTGAATGATATATGAACAAACCCCTCAGTAAAAACCTTCAGAATATAGATATGAATGAAACTGTAAGTATTGGTGTATATAACTGTTACTGAAGTGGACAAAAAAACTTTTAAAGATACGTATCGTAATAGAAATCTACAGAAGCCAGTAGATAATGTGTATTCTGGATGTTTTCTCTCCACCAGTCTGCAGATCTCAGAACACTGGGTTTGTCTGTACTGTAGTAATGAAGCTGGGTATCACACAGAATCACACATAAACACACAGAAACACACAGAATCACACATAAACACACAGAATCACACATAAACACACAGAATCACACATAAACACACATAAACACACATAAACACACATAAACACACAGAAACATGCAGAATCACGCAGAAACACACAGAAACATGCAGAATCATGCAGAATCACACAGAAACACGCAGAAACACGCAGAATCACGCAGAATCACGCAGAATCACACAGAATCACGCAGAATCACGCAGAAACACGCAGAAACACGCAGAATCACACAGAAACACACAGAATCACACAGAAACACACAGAAACACACAGAATCACACAGAACAACATGACATCATGACTTTGCGTAAACATACACGCCACTTTCAATTCAAGTGGCGTGTTATCTATACGCATTTTGAGCTATCCGCGTGTATGTCCACGCCGAAATCTTTTGCGTGTATGTCTACGCCATTAAATGTCCGAGTGATTCCGCGTGTATGTGTACGCCGTTAAATGTCCGAGCGAAACGAAGCAAAATCTATATCTACATCTGTGGAGCGATATTTCTTTTCCTAGGATGGTAGGAGAAGACTCATAAATGGTATTAACCCCAGTGACGGGTAGGTTTAGGGACGGGGTTGGGGTAGGTCATATATTTATATACAGTAATGTAACGTTAAGTCAACGGCGTTGATAAACACGCTGAAAAGCGATTATGCGTGTTGATAGCACGCCAAAAATGGAAATACGAATTGGCGTGTCATACATACGCCATTTCATGAGATCAGTCTGCACAGAAACACGCAGAAACACGCAGAAACACGCAGAATCACGCAGAAACACGCAGAATCACGCAGAATCACGCAGAATCACGCAGAAACACGCAGAAACACGCAGAATCACGCAGAAACACGGAGAATCACGCAGAAACACACAGAAACACACAGAAACACGCAGAATCACGCAGAAACACGCAGAAACACGCAGAATCACGCAGAAACACGCAGATTCACGCAGAATCACGCAGAAACACACGGAAACACGCAGAATCACGCAGAAACAAGTAGAAACACCCAGAATCACGTAGAATCACGCAGAAACACGCAGAATCACGCAGAAACACGCAGAAACACGCAGAATCACGCAGAAACACGGAGAATCACGCAGAAACACACAGAAACACGCAGAAACACGCAGAATCACGCAGAAACACGCAGAAACACGCAGATTCACGCAGAAACACACGGAAACACGCAGAATCACGCAGAAACAAGTAGAAACACCCAGAATCACGTAGAATCACGCAGAATCACGCAGAAACACGCAGAATCACGCAGAAACACGCAGATTCACGCAGAATCACACGGAAACACGCAGAATCACGCAGAAACAAGTAGAAACACCCAGAATCACGTAGAATCACGCAGAAACACGCAGAGACACACAGAATCACGTAGAATCACGCAGAATCACGCAGAATCACGCAGAAACACACAGAATCACGTAGAATCACGCAGAAACACGCAGAATCACGCAGAAACACACAGAATCACGCAGAATCACACAGAATCACGCAGAAACACACAGAATCACGTAGAATCACGCAGAAACACGCAGAATCACGCAGAAACGCGCAGAATCACGCAGAATCACGCAGAAACACGCAGAAAAACAGAATCACGCAGAATCGCGCAGAATCACGCAGAAACGCGCAGAATCACGTAGAATCACGTAGAATCACGCAGAAACACGTAGAATCACGCAGAAACACGCAGAAACACACAGAATCACGCAGAATCACACAGAATCACGTAGAAACGCGCAGAATCACGCAGAAACACCCAGAATCACGCAGAAACACGTAGAATCACGCAGAATCACGCAGAAACACACAGAATCACGTAGAATCACGCAGAAACACACAGAATCACGCAGAAACACCCAGAATCACGCAGAAACACGCAGAATCACGCAGAAACACCCAGAATCACGCAGAAACACCCAGAATCACGCAGAAACACGTAGAATCACGCAGAATCACGCAGAAACACACAGAATCACGTAGAATCACGCAGAAACACGCAGAATCACGCAGAAATGCGCAGAATCACGCAGAAACACGCAGAAACACAGAATCACGCAGAATCGCGCAGAATCACGCAGAAACACGCAGAATCACACAGAATCACGCAGAAACACACAGAAACACGTAGAAACACGCAGAAACACACAGAAACACGTAGAATCACGCAGAATCACGCAGAAACACAGAATCACACAGAATCACGCAGAAACGCGCAGAAACGCGCAGAATCACACAGAAACACGCAGAACAGAATCACACAGAATCACACAGAATCACACAGAATCACACAGAAACACAGAATCACACAGAATCACACAGAATCACGCAGAATCACACAGAATCACACAGAATCACGCAGAATCATGCAGAACAGAATCACACAGAATCACACAGAATCACACAGAATCACGCAGAATCACACAGAATCACGCAGAATCACGCAGAATCACACAGAATCACGCAGAAACACACAGAACAGAATCACACAGAATCACACAGAATCAGGCAGAATCACACAGAATCACGCAGAATCACACAGAATCACGCAGAAACACACAGAATCACACAGAAACACACAGAACAGAATCACGCAGAAACACACAGAACAGAATCACACAGAATCACGCAGAATCACGCAGAAACACACAGAACAGAATCATACAGAATCACGCAGAAACACACAGAACAGAATCACACAGAATCACGCAGAAACACACAGAATCACGCAGAATCACACAGAATCACGCAGAATCACACAGAACAGAATCACGCAGAATCACACAGAAACACGCAGAATCACACAGAATCACGCAGAATCACACAGAATCACGCAGAATCACGCAGAATCACGCAGAATCACACAGAATCACACAGAATCACGCAGAATCACGCAGAATCACGCAGAATCACACAGAATCACACAGAATCACGCAGAATCACACAGAATCACGCAGAATCACGCAGAATCACACAGAATCACGCAGAATCACACAGAACAGAATCACACAGAATCACACAGAAACACACAGAACAGAATCACACAGAATAACACGCCTCGATTCTAAGAGGAGCATGAAACAGGAAAACTACGTTCTAAAACCCGCAAACGTTTGTGTGTCTCTCAGCCTTTCCCTCCTGTTGCTGAACATGTGAACACACACCTCTTCCCGCAGAGCTCACAGATGTAGGGCTTCTCTCCCGAGTGCCGGCGGAGATGCGTCTGCAGGTTTCCCGCCTGAAACACACGACAGGAGCAAACACACCGTTAATGAAACCATCCGAGTTTGAGTCACTTTAACAGGCATAATGTGCACAAACTTCTGATGAGACGCTTTACAATCAATCTTATGAAGTTATTCTGATTCAGGATTATGGGGAACATGCTTTTAAATCAATAATGATGTGCACTGATAAATCTTTTAGATTAAACACTGCAGTATTATATAAAAATAATAATTCTCCATTTTGATTTCATTTAGCTCCCTGCAGTTTTCCATCAAATTAAAAGTTTGACTAATGTTTGAAAATGAAGAAATTATGACATCCATATACATTATTGTAATTTTAGAGTTTTTATTATTGTTGTTTTCTTAAATAATCAATTGTATTTTCCAGAGAAGTACTGCAATAGTACTTATGTTTTTATTAAGTACTTTTTATATTTTTTATTTGGGAATAATATTATTTTATTGTTATTATTATTTATTTGTCATATTGATATATAATCACAACATTTCTTCCAAATCATGCAGCCCTACAAACAAGCTCAGCAAACCTGGATTTTTTTCATAAAAAAAAAAAAAAATTTTATCAGAAAACCGTCTGAACCGTACCTGTGAGAACCCTTTACCACACACGTTACACTGAAACGGTTTCTCACCTGCGGAGAGAGACGTCACAACAGACACGAGAGTGAGAGAGTGTGTGTGTGTGTGTGTGTGTGTGAGAGTGTCTCACCTGTGTGTGTCTCATGAGTGTGTGTGTGTGAGAGAGAAAGTGAGTGAGTGAGTGTGTGTCTCACGAGTGTGTGTGTGTGTGTGTGTGTGTGTGTGTGTGAGAGAGAGAGAGAGTGTGTGTCTCACTTGTGTGTGTGTCTCACGAGTGTGTGTGTGTCTCACCTGTGTGTGTGTCTCACGAGTGTGTGTGTGTGCGTGAGTGTGTGTCTCACGTATGTGTGTGTGTGTGCGTGAGTGTGTGTGTGTCTCACGAGTGTGTGTGTGTCTCACCTGTGTGTGTGTCTCACGAGTGTGTGTGTGTGTCTCACCTGTGTGTGTGTCTCACGAATGTGTGTGTGTGTGCGTGAGTGTGTGTGTGTCTCACCTGTGTGTCTGTCTCACGAGTGTGTGTGTGTGTGTGCGTGAGTGTGTGTGTCTCTCACCTGTGTGTGAGCGTTTGTGCAGCTCGAGGTTGCTGGGATGTTTAAACGTCTTTCCACAAACCTCACAGCAATACTTATTATTACTGCTGCTGCTGACCTCTGACCTCTCGTCGTGACCCCTCGACTCCGCATCATCAGGCTCTGCCGCAGGTGTGGTTTTCAGCTCGGACGCTTCTGCTGGGTCAGAGGTCACGGAGAGGTCAGAGGTCGCCCCTGGCCGGTCACACGGCGCACCGGCTCCAGCGCAGCGCTCGCCTTCCTCTTCCTCCGGACTGACGTGTGAGCGAAGATAGTTGAACTTCTTCAGGTAAACATCTTTCTTAGGGCGCAGGACGTGTGGGGGCGTGGCCTCTGAGTTGGGCGTGGTCTCTGGGACAGGGGGTGTGGCCTCTGAGCTGGGCGTGGTCTCTGGGCCAGGGTGTGTGGCCTCTGAGCTGGGCGTGGTCTCTGGGACAGGGGGCGTGGCCTCTGAGCTGGGCGTGGTCTCTGGGCCAGGGTGTGTGGCCTCTGAGCTGGGCGTGGTCTCTGGGACGGGGGGCGTGGCCTCTGAGCTGGGCGTGGCCTCGGCCTGTGATGAGCTCACGCTCGTGTGGAGCGGCTCCTCCGGCGGGAAGCCTCCGCTCTGCTTGAGATACTGTCTGGTGTAGAAGTTCCTGAGCTTGTAGCCGTGCGGCGGCTGGCGGCTCGTCTCTCGAAGCTTCTGCTGCTCATCTGCGGGAGGAGGAGGAGCTTCGGATGGAGGAGAGCTTCCCAACAGGCAGTCCTGATCGGCCAGAGGGAGGGACACGTCGCTCGACACACACGGCTTCAGGAACGCATGACACATGTTCAGGATGTTCAACACCTGCACCACAAACAGATCAGCAACTCACCATCCGCTTTCTAAAGTTATTTCTACAGCACTTTATACAGGACAGATTGTGTCCTGAATGTTGGGAGAAAGATACATTAAAGTTTGGGGAGCGTTACATGAATGTTTGGGGAGCGTTACATGAATGTTTGGGGAGCGTTACATGAATGTTTGGGGAGCGTTACATGAATGTTTGGGGAGCGTTACATGAGTGTTTGGGGAGCGTTACATGAGTGTTTGGGAGCGTTACATGAATGTTTGGGGAGCGTTACATGAATGTTTGGGGAGCGTTACATGAATGTTTGGGGAGCGTTACACGAATGTTTGGGGAGCGTTACATGAATGTTTGGGGAGCGTTACATGAATGTTTGGGGAGCGTTACATGAATATTTGGGGAGCGTTACATGAATGTTTGGGGAGCGTTACATGAATGTTTGGGGAGCGTTACATGAATGTTTGGGAGCGTTACATGAATGTTTGGGGAGCGTTACATGAATGTTTGGGGAGCGTTACATGAATGTTTGGGGAGCGTTACATGAATGTTTGGGGAGCGTTACATGAGTGTTTGGGAGCGTTACATGAATGTTTGGGGAGCGTTACATGAGTGTTTGGGAGCGTTACATGAATGTTTGGGGAGCGTTACATGAATGTTTTGGGAGCGTTACATGAATGTTTGGGGAGCGTTACATGAATGTTTGGGGAGCGTTACATGAATGTTTGGGGAGCGTTACATGAATGTTTGGGGAGCGTTACATGAGTGTTTGGGAGCGTTACATGAATGTTTGGGGAGCGTTACATGAGTGTTTGGGAGCGTTACATGAATGTTTGGGGAGCGTTACATGAATGTTTGGGAGCGTTCCATGAATGTTTGGGGAGCGTTACATGAGTGTTTGGGAGCGTTACATGAATGTTTGGGGAGCGTTACATGAATGTTTGGGAGCGTTACATGAATATTTGGGGAGCGTTACATGAATGTTTGGGAGCGTTACATGAACGTTACATGAATGTTTGGGAGCGTTACATGAATGTTTGGGGAGCGTTACATGAATGTTTGGGGAGCGTTACATGAATGTTTGGGAGCGTTACATGAATGTTTGGGGAGCGTTACATGAATATTTGGGGAGCGTTACATGAATGTTTGGGAGCGTTACATGAACGTTACATGAATGTTTGGGAGCGTTACATGAATGTTTGGGGAGCGTTACATGAATGTTTGGGAGCGTTACATGAATGTTTGGGGAGCGTTACATGAATGTTTGGGAGCGTTACATGAACGTTACATGAATGTTTGGGAGCGTTACATGAACGTTACATGAATGTTTGGGAGCGTTACATGAATGTTTGGGAGCGTTACATGAATGTTTGGGAGCGTTACATGAATGTTTGGGAGCGTTACATGAATATTTAGGGAGCGTTACATGAATGTTTGGGGAGCGTTACACGAATGTTTGGGGAGCGTTACATGAATGTTTGGGGAGCGTTACATGAATGTTTGGGAGCGTTACATGAATGTTTGGGGAGCGTTACACGAATGTTTGGGGAGCGTTACACGAATGTTTGGGGAGCGTTACATGAATGTTTGGGAGCGTTACATGAATGTTTGGGGAGCGTTACATGAATGTTTGGGGAGCGTTACATGAATGTTTGGGGAGCGTTACACGAATGTTTGGGGAGCGTTACATGAATGTTTGGGGAGCGTTACATGAATGTTTGGGGAGCGTTACATGAATGTTTGGGGAACGTTACATGAATGTTTGGGGAACGTTACATGAATGTTTGGGAAGCGTTACATGAATGTTTGGGGAGCGTTACATGAGTGTTTGGGGAGCGTTACATGAATGTTTGGGGAACGTTACATGAATGTTTGGGGAGCGTTACATGAATGTTTGGGGAGCGTTACATGAATATTGGGGAGCGTTACATGAATGTTTTGGGGAGCGTTACATGAATGTTTGGGGAGTGTTACATGAATGTTTGGGGAGCGTTACATGAATGTTTGGGAGCATTACATGAATGTTTGGGGAGCGTTACATGAATGTTTGGGAGCATTACATGAATGTTTGGGGAGCGTTACATGAATGTTTGGGGAGCGTTACATGAATGTTTGGGGAGCGTTACATGAATGTTTGGGGAGCGTTACATGAATGTTTGGGAGCATTACATGAATGTTTGGGGAGCGTTACATGAATGTTTTGGGAGCGTTACATGAATGTTTGGGGAGCGTTACACGAATGTTTGGGGAGCGTTACACGAATGTTTGGGGAGCGTTACATTAATGTTTGGGAGCGTTACATGAATGTTTGGGGAGCGTTACACGAATGTTTGGGGAGCGTTACATGAATGTTTGGGGAGCGTTACACGAATGTTTGGGGAGCGTTACATGAATGTTTGGGGAGCGTTACATGAATGTTTGGGGAGCGTTACATGAATGTTTGGGGAGCGTTACATGAATGTTTGGGGAGCGTTACATGAATTTTTGGGAGCGTTACATGAATTTTTGGGAGCATTACATGAATGTTTGGGGAGCGTTACATGAATGTTTGGGGAGCGTTACATAAATGTTTGGGGAGCGTTACATGAATGTTTGGGGAGCGTTACATGAATGTTTGGGGAGCGTTACACGAATGTTTAGTGAGCGTTACATGAATGTTTGGGGAGCGTTACATGAATGTTTGGGGAGCGTTACATGAATGTTTGGGGAGCGTTACATGAATGTTTGGGGAGCGTTACATGAATTTTTGGGAGCATTACATGAATGTTTGGGGAGCGTTACATGAATGTTTGGGGAGCGTTACATAAATGTTTGGGGAGCGTTACATGAATGTTTGGGGAGCGTTACATGAATGTTTGGGGAGCGTTACACGAATGTTTGGGGAGCGTTACACGAATGTTTGGGGAGCGTTACACGAATGTTTGGGGAGCGTTACACGAATGTTTGGGGAGCGTTACATGAATGTTTGGGGAGCGTTACATGAATGTTTGGGGAGCGTTACATGAATTTTTGGGAGCATTACATGAATGTTTGGGGAGCGTTACATGAATGTTTGGGGAGCGTTACATGAATGTTTGGGGAGCGTTACATGAATGTTTGGGGAGCGTTACACGAATGTTTGGGGAGCGTTACACGAATGTTTAGTGAGCGTTACATGAATGTTTGGGGAGCGTTACACGAATGTTTGGGGAGCGTTACACGAATGTTTAGTGAGCGTTACATGAATGTTTGGGGAGCGTTACACGAATGTTTAGTGAGCGTTACACGAATGTTTGGGGAGCGTTACACGAATGTTTGGGGAGCGTTACACGAATGTTTGGGGAGCGTTACACGAATGTTTGGGGAGCGTTACACGAATGTTTAGTGAGCGTTACATGAATGTTTGGGGAGCGTTACACGAATGTTTGGGGAGCGTTACACGAATGTTTGGGGAGCGTTACACGAATGTTTGACGAATGTTTGGGGAGCGTTACACGAATGTTTGGGAGCGTTACACGAATGTTTGGGGAGCGTTACACGAATGTTTGGGGAGCGTTACACGAATGTTTGACGAATGTTTGGGGAGCGTTACACGAATGTTTGGGGAGCGTTACACGAATGTTTGGGGAGCGTTACACGAATGTTTGGGGAGCGTTACACGAATGTTTAGTGAGCGTTACATGAATGTTTGGGGAGCGTTACACGAATGTTTGGGGAGCGTTACACGAATGTTTGGTGAGCGTTACACGAATGTTTGGGGAGCGTTACACGAATGTTTGGGGAGCGTTACACGAATGTTTAGTGAGCGTTACATGAATGTTTGGGGAGCGTTACACGAATGTTTGGGGAGCGTTACACGAATGTTTGGGGAGCGTTACACGAATGTTTGGGGAGCGTTACACGAATGTTTAGTGAGCGTTACATGAATGTTTGGGGAGCGTTACACGAATGTTTGGGGAGCGTTACACGAATGTTTGGTGAGCGTTACATGAATGTTTGGGGAGCGTTACACGAACGTTCTGCAAACCTATAAAGAATGTTCTATTTCTGTAAAGAAAATGTTACTGTCTAACCAAAAAACAACTTTAAAAATGCATATTTTGGGAACGTTCTGAAAATATTCTGGGAACCAAAAATTGTTCGGTTGACACTGAAGTGTGTGTGTGTGTGTGTGTGTGACCTGCAGGCTCTGTCCGATCTCCATCAGCGCGTGAACGTTGTCCTGGTTGAGCTCCAGATGTGATGTGTACATGTAGTCCAGAACCTGTCCGATGCCGCCCACGTCCTGAATGGCCAGTTGGAAAACATCGTTCTTCTGCGCCGGGGAGTTCTGGAACAGAGACCTGAGGAGAACTGTGTGTGTGAGCACGACTGGGAATCCAGAATTGATTCCATCAAAGGAAATCTTTTTTTCCAGCTCAATGGAGCTAATAATAAGCCATATTTCTAATAATAACAATATAAATATTTCCAAATTTCTTTAAAATATATATTTGACGTGGTTACCGGAAGTAGGCGCTGAAGGCCGCCAGCACGTTCTTATGGGCTTTAAAGCAGACGCCCTTCACCACCAGCATGCAGTCGCACAGCAGACCCTGGATACGCTGATCCTGCAGCTGCTGCAGCACGAACACACTGTGGCTGCACACACTGTCCATCTGCACACACACACACACACACACACACCAGTCACTGCTGCAGCACGAACACACTGTGGCTGCACACACTGTCCATCTGCACACACACACACACACACACACACACACACACACACACACACACACACATCAGTCACTGCTGCAGCACGAACACACTGTGGCTGCACACACTGTCCATCTGCACACACACACACACACACACACACCAGTCACTGCTGCAGCACGAACACACTGTGGCTGCACACACTGTCCATCTGCACACACACACACACACACACACACACACACACACACACACACACATCAGTCACTGCTGCAGCACGAACACACTGTGGCTGCACACACTGTCCATCTGCACACACACACACACACACACACACACACACACATCAGTCACTGCTGCAGCACGAACACACTGTGGCTGCACACACTGTCCATCTGCTCACACACACACACACACCAGTCACTGC